CCCCAAAACCCCAAAACCCCAAAACCCCAAAACCCCATATATATATCATATAATTGAAGCTATATAATGGAATTTAGATTCCTGGATATTTAGGACCTCCAGCTCCTTCAGGAGTTGTCCAACGAATATAATTATTTGGAGGTTTGATATCACAGGTCTTACAATGCACGCAGTTCTGGGCATTTATCTGTAACTTCATCTCTCCTGTCTCTTCGTCTTTGATATGCTCATATACTTTAGCTGGGCAGAAACGGTCCTCTGGAGCTCCGTAGATATCGTAGGATTTTTGCGCCCAATCCTCCATTCCTTCTTTGATTTTTAGATGGGAAGGCTGATCATGATCGTGATCAGTTCCTGATCTCTCAAGGTTGGTAAGGAGATCAAAGGTGAGCTTATTATCTTTCTTTGGATACTTCCTTGGTTTGAACTTGGATTTTGGCTCAGTATATTCATGATCCTTTTTATTTCCAATCTTCAAAGTCCAAGGCTCTCTACCTTGTGTGAAATTGAGGAGGAACCCATGGATTAATCCAAACCACAAATTCTTCTTAAAACCGAGCTTGAAATTACGCCACTTTTTGAGATCGTGAACTGCCCAAGAATCTTGCATTGATGTTTCGTACTCAGTCAGTTCTTTTCCAGAGATATCCTCATCTTTCTCCAATTTTGACCAAATAGTTTCGGCAGCCACCATTCCTGACTTCATTGCATGGTGCGTTCCCTTAATTTCAGCAACATTGAGGAATCCTGCGCTTCATCCAGTGAGCATTCCTCCTTTGAATGTGAGCTTTGGAAGAGAATGATATCCTCCTTCGTTCAGTGCTCTGGCTCCATAAGCAACGCATTCTCCGTTCTTGAAATATTTGCTAATATTTTTGTGAGTTTTAAACCTTTGGAACTCCTCGTAAGGATTCAAGTATGGGTCTTTGTAATCTAACCCAACAACCATACCAACATGGATTTTGTTTGGCTTCACATGATACATGAAAGTTCCGCTGTAGACATTTGGACCAAGAGGCCAGTTAACAGTATGCTTAACAAGTCCTGGCTTGAACTCTGAGTTGTCGACTTCCCAGACCTCTTTAATTCCTATCCCATACTGTTGTTTATTTACTACGTTTCCATCAAGATTAAACTTCTCGATTAGTTGTTGAGACAAAGATCCTCTGCAGCCTTCAGCAAGAATAGTCTGTTTTGCTTTAACTATCATGCCTGGCATGAAGGTATCTTTTTGGGTTCCATCCTTGGCGACTCCGAAGTCGTTTGTGATGACTCCTCCAACGCTACCATCTTCATTGTAGAAGATTTCACTTCCTGCAAAGCCAGGGAGGATGTCAATGCCTTCCTCCTCTGCTTTTTCTCCGAGCCATTCAACAATCTCACCAAGGCCACATACGTAGTTACCATGGTTACGAATAGATTTAGGAAGGAACATTTCAGGAACATTGATGCTTTTGTTTTCAAAGAGAATACTAAATCTATCTTCACTGACTTTAGTCTCAAGTGGGCATGTTTCATCATTTCTCCAATCAGGGATCAATTCATTTAGTGCGTGTGGGTTGAATCAGTTTCCGCTAAGGATGTGCGCTCCGACTTGAGCTCCCTTCTCCAATACACAGATGCTAAGTTCTTCATCTCTATCCTCAGAAAGTTGTCTGAGCTTAATAGCAGCAGAAAGACCGGCTGGTCCAGCTCCAACAATGACTACATCATACTCCATTTCATCTCTTTCTATCTCTTCCGTTGAACAGAATGCTCTGTAGGCAGGTCTGCTGACAGATCTAGGGAGAGTTCTCAAACTTTTGAGTCTATAAAAAAGATTAATAACTTTGAAAGGAAGAATAAAAAAAGGAAGACATACTTATGCCCGTGTCTAGTAATTGCTCTGAACATTTCAAAATATATAATTTAAAATAACCTGAATCTTATTAAATTGACATGGGGTTTTGGGGTTTTGGGGTTTTGGGGTTTTGGGGTTTTGGGGTTTTGGGGTTTTGGGGTTTTGGGGTTTTGGGG